AGCAGGGCTCAGGAAAGGCCTCTTGAAATGCTGATATCTAAGCTGAGATCCAGAAGCCTGTAGGAATTGGCTGGGGGAAGGGTTCTGGGCTCATGAAAACTGCACAAAGGCTCAGAAGAGGCCAGCCCATTTGGCCAAGCCTGAAAAGGACTGTCCCAGTGCTTAGATGTTGGGGACACAGTAGAAACTAAGACAGCCCTGGTCCCAGGCTTACAGTCCATTGGGCAAGACAGACCTGTCAGCAGGCCCTAACAACTGAGTGTTACCAAGGCGGCATGGGGGGGTGCTCCCAGGGCTCTGGGGAAGGCCGGAGGGAGTGCTTTACTTGTTCACTGGGACTGGACTCCTGCTCTGTGCCTGGTCACACTGGAGCTACAGTAGTCTTCAAGACAGCCCAGCTCCTGAGGGTCCCAAATTGAGAACAGTGGGGCCTCTCACCTGATTCTCCAATGCAGGTTTCAACCGCAGTGGAGGTGGTGGCTACAATCAGAACCGCTGGGGTAACAACAGCCGGGATAACAACAACTCCAACACCCGAGGCAGCTACAACCGGGCTCCCCAGCAACAGCCGCCACCACAGCAGCCACCGCCACCGCAGCCACCGCCACAGCAGCCTCCACCACCACCCAGCTACAGCCCTGCTCGGAACCCCGCAGGGGCCGGCAGCTACGCTAAGAACAGCAACATCCCTGGCTCGAGCGCCAATACCAGCACCCCTACTGTCAGCAGCTACAGCCCTCCACAGGTGAGAGGATAAGCGTGCGTGTGTGTGTGAACAGGTGAGAGGAGGTGGGTCCAGGGAAATCACCAACATGTGCTCCAGCCACAGGTCTTCACTCTTACCTCCAGCCCTGCCCTTTCTCCCTTCCCTGCCAGTGCTTTTGGCTGAGACAGACGCTAGATATTCCCAGATGCCTTCCAGACCCAGAGTAAATCGGGGAACCTACCTGTTCTGTCATCTCTCTCAGGGCGGGCTGTATGTGTTGGTCCCACAAGCAAGTACATTTCTCTTGGCTGCGTTCTCGTGTCACTGGCCTCACTGAATCCCCAAGAAAGCACTCAATTGGAGTTACCCCTTCAACCTAGGCTTGAAGGGGCTGATCCCCTTGTCTTCAGGATGTAGGGACAGACTCTAAGGTTGGTGAGGACTTGACCTCTGCCCTGAGAGCTTCACTGCGGAGCAGCTCCAGGCTCAGTTTGAGTTCTCAGAGAGCCAGTGCTCAGCTCTGGTACACACAGGCCCCTTAACCAGAGCAGTCCCCATTTACTGTGCACCTTCCACACTTCAGGCCTGGAGGCAGCTGCCAGGAGACACAGATGAATGGTTCTAGTCCTGGTCTAACCAGAATATTTCCTAGAACAGGAGTTGGGCAGACACAAATTCAAACCCCAGCCCCACAGCGTTCTGGTTTTGTGACCTTGGACAAACAGCTTCACCTCTTGGGACCTCATTTTCCTCATAAAGGACTAGGGTTAGTAGTAGAACTTACTTCCAAGGTTTGTTGTGAGGGGAAGATGACATCATAGCTTTGCAGGTAAGGCTCTGGAACTAGGCGGACCTGGGGGCAAGTCACAGCTCTGCCACTTCTTACCTGTGTGGCTTGGGCCTAATGATTTCACCTCCCTGAGCCTCACCTTCCTTCTCTGTAAAACGAAGCCAATGGAGCCTGCCTCAGAGGGTTGATGGGGGGATTAGAGGAGTTGAGGATCCAGCCTGGACATGGGAAGCACTTAGGAAATTGCCACTACTGTTTTTCTTAGCAGGTCTTCCAATAACAAATACCACCATTTATTGTGCCCAATGGATGGTGCACGTAAGCTTAGTGAATACGCAAGGCAATCCAACGGGGTGGTTCTGTTGTAATTCTCATTTTACAGAGAAAAAGAAAAACACTGGGATTTCAAGAGCTGCTGTGTGCCTTGCTCCCCCAGGGTCTCATAGCTGGGATTAGAGTCCAGAATTTAGCTCTTGATCCTACCCTGTCCTGCCATGTCACAGAGCTGACCCATCTCCTTCTCAGCCCTGAAACAGCGTCCACCAGAGAAGTTCCTTTGTGGACCCACTGCTTACAAAGGCCCTTCCTCCATCCCAGCTGAGCTGGCTATTTCACAGAGACTTGTTTTTTTCCCTCCACTTCCCAGCCGAGTTACAGCCAGCCACCTCCCTACAACCAGGGAGGTTACAGCCAGGGCTACACAGCTCCACCACCTCCACCTCCGCCACCACCTGCCTACAACTATGGGAGCTACGGCGGCTACAACCCAGCCCCTTACACCCCTCCACCGCCCCCTACCGCACAGACCTACCCTCAGCCCAGCTATAACCAGTACCAACAGGTAAGTGCCACAAGCAGAGGGGGGAGAATGGGGAGACTTCTAGGGGCCCCACAGGGGTGTGTATTCCCAGACCTGTGTCCCTGCTTATCCCTAAAAAGATGGGCAGCTCTCTGGCCTTGGGCTGGTGTCCATCTAGTACAGTACAGCCATGCCCGTTTGTTGAACACTTCTACACTGGCTGCTAAGTAGCTGCCATCCTAGTTCCTCTCCCCAGTGCAGCAAGCAGAGGGCTTAGCAGGGGCCTCAAACCCTGATTCAGTACCATGGCCAGTGTCCATTCTGATTGGTTCATGCTAGGCCCCATACCTGCTTTTGAGTATTTTGAACATGGTATCTAGCTGTACCTGAAAGGGCATTAGGTTGGCAAGCCGGGAGACCAGGGCTTCAGTCTCTAACTGCCCACCCATGTGACATTAGGTCATTCACTTATCCTCCCAAGGTACCTTGATTTCTCTGTCAGACCTATGTGTTGACTGTCATCACCGTACCCATCTCCACCATGGGTGAGGGTGGGGTCAGGGGAGAAGCCAGATGTGGGTCTGGATGAACGACAACCTGGTGCTCTTGGTTTCTCTCTCCCCAGTATGCCCAGCAGTGGAACCAGTACTATCAGAACCAGGGCCAGTGGCCACCGTACTACGGGAACTATGACTACGGGAGCTACTCCGGGAACACACAGGGGGGCACAAGCACACAGTAGCCAGTGTGTCCTGGAGGCCCCTGCCGGCTTCCTCCACCAGCGCCCACCTTGGCCCCCCTTGTCCACCCCCTCCGGGTCACGTGGTGCTGGGGGACGGGTCCTCCCAGGGCTGCCTCTCCTCCAAGGGGCTCTTCCCCCACACAGGGCCGGGCATTTTCCTCCGGATTCAAACAGGCAACAATGACCATTTATTTTGTTTGTCCCCCCATCCCGCTCCTCTTCCTCTTCCTCCCTTCCTCCTTTTTGACTAAAGACCCCCCTCCCTCCCTTGGTCGTACAGTGAGGCTACAGGGCTGTGGGGAGGGCCCCTTCCTGTCCTCTGGTCCCAGCCCTACTCCAGCCCCTCAGCTTCCCAGATTCTCATGCAGTTGGTTGTAAATTCTTCCAGGAGCTGTTTTACTGTCTACTTTTCAGAATTTAAAAAAATCAAAAACTTAAAAACACACACAAGTTTAAAAAAGCAAAACGCAGAGGGAGGAAGAAGTGACATATTTTTTTGGTAATTATGCTTTTTTTTTTTTAATTTTTAGAATTTGTCCCTTTTTACTGTGGGTCGGCTGTTGATATTTCATCAGGATAACCATTTCTTTGCTGAGTTCAGGTGACCGAGGAAGAGCCACACCCTCAAAACAAAACACACACAAAACAAAACCACAGAATCATCTTTAACCTAACTTTTTATACAATGTCTCAGTTTCCGGTAACTTTGCACACAAGCTTCTGTGTTGAGTTGAATTGTACCTGCCTTTTGTATTTGGAGAGAGTGTGACTATTGAACTTGAAACATTTTATTCTGGGCGTCTTGGTAGTTTCTGGTGGGATTAATCGGGTGAGAGGGAAGAAGGGAGTTGGGGGGCTCCTTCCTTTCAGAACATGAAGTTTCTCCCACTGCCTCCTCTCCAAAGGTCTCCCAGGTGCCAGACCTAAAGGTTTTTCCTACAGTGATCCTCTGATTATTTTTACTTCCCCTTGACCCATATGTTTTAATAGGACTTTAACAAACTGCACTTATTAAGAAATGTGTTTGCCCTGTTTTGTTTTGTTTTTGTTTTGTTTCAATAAATGACATGGCACCTCCTAGCAGGAAGGAAGCAAGGTTTCAACCCTGAAGTGTTACTGCAGTTGGCCTTTAATTGGGGCGGGGGCCTTTTCAAGGGGACATTATTTACTCACTCATTAAACACTTATTGTGGGATTTGTGTGCCTGTCCCCATTTTTGGTGCTGGGGATGCCCCCTTAAACCTGGGGCCCTCAGTTTAAAATCCACTAGTTCATTTTTAACGTGGTTTTCTGGTCTCTGCCCTTTCCAGTTCACCCACAGTCCCAAATCCCTCCCGGAATTTGTGAGTAGAAAAGGATGGAACAAGTCCCTAGGCAGAGAGCAAGGTAGGGTGATGGTTGGAAACTAGGGCTGGACTGTTGGGGTCATCCCTTGGTGTGACTGCCCATCCACATTAGGCCTGGCCTCTGTGTTGGACTTAGGATGGTTCTTGACCGTGCTCCTGGATCCAGGCTAGTGGGGATTCCAGGAGCTTCTTTATCCAGCCAGTGTTAGGTACTTGCTCTGTTCCTTACCCACACCCACTCTGGACAGTGCTGAGGACACAGCATGACCAAGGCAGTCCTGGACCCTGCCCTCATGGGGCTCTCAGTCCAGAGGTAACACGGACCTGTCATGGAATGGTGACAGCGCCAAGGTCAGCTGTGAGAGCTTGGGGTGGAGGGGGGTGGTGAGGTGAGGCCTTCGTGGAGAAGGGAACTTTTTTAAAGAGGAATGAGCTGCGACAAAAGACTTTCTGGGGCTTCCCTGGTGGCGCAGTGGTTGGGAGTCCGCCTGCCGATGCAGGGGACACGGGTTCGTGCCCGGTCTGGGAGGATCCCACATGCCGCGGAGCGGCTGGGCCCGTGAGCCATGGCCGCTGAGCCTGCGCGTCCGGAGCCCGTGCTCCGCAACAGGAGAGGCCACAACAGTGAGAGGCCCACGTACTGCAAAAAAAAAAAAAGACTTTCTGATTGCATCCCCACAGCCTATCCTCCTTCCCCAGCAACTTGAGTCATTTCTTCAATCCCCTTAGGCATGCTGTATTCCTGGCCCCTTGTGAGGGACAAGGCTGGGGCACAGGAGCAGCCAGTTCAGCTCCATCTCTTCCCTCACAGGAACTGTCTCAGAGCCTTGTGAAGGGAACACAGGCTACAAAACAGGGAGGAAGATGGTTGACTACTTTTGAGGTCAGATGCAAGGCATCTGAACATGAGGCGGAGCCAAGGTTGATGGCTAGTTGGGCTAAAGGGAATCCTAGAGTGGCCTCTCCCTAGGGAGGGCCTCAGGTCCTCTAGGCTGGGAAGTCCCCTTCCCTGCAGGTCCATGTGTTGGGCAACAGTGCCCTCTGCTGGCCTCTCCTGGCAATATGTCTTAAGTGTAGTCAGTCTCCATCTATCCCAAGTGACAAATGAGCCACTTTCTTCCAGATCCCTTATCCTGGGAATGCAAACGGGAAGTTATTCCTCTGCCTTTGGCCTTAATATCTGGGTTACTGCATCAGCCTCCTCACAGATCTCTCTGACCTCCAGTCCCTTACCCTGATACCCCCCTGCTCACTCCCCACAGGATAAAGGAGCTCAAGCTACTTAATATGGCTTACAGGCTCCACATGCCTGGCCCCTGGTGACCTCACTGGCATTACCTTTTACCACTCCCCTTTCAAACTTAAGATCACTAGTTTGTTCTAGGGGAATCACAAATCCCTTTCAGAATCTAAATGCCATGAACTTCTGCCTTGGAAATACATGTGTACGGTTGAGAGGTTGGTTGAATTTTGCATAAAGATTTGTGAGGTTTTCCAATCCTTGCAGCCCGATCATGACCTTCAAGTTAGAACTCCTTTCCTATTACCTGGCCATACAGAAGCAACCAGAACTACTGATGCCTGCCTTCCTCTCCAGGGGTTTGCCTTGCCCATCCTCCTACATGAGACCCTTCTCTACCTCCCTCTTATCCTGATTCCTGATCATTTTTCCGGTCTCATTTTGGGTGTCCTTTACTCTCAGAAAAGAACCTTCCCATGGCCCTCCAGGCTGGGGTGGGCAGCTCCCTTGGCTGGACCTCTGGGTCCATCAGCCCGGCCCACTCAGGGCACTGGTAACACTTGAATGTGAGTCCCTACCCGTCACGTAGGGCAAATCAGGACCAAGGTCTCTCCACACCTGAAGATTCTTCAGGTCCTGGGAGCACAAAGTGGGAAGTTGAGTCTGATCTCACCACCTATCTCATGCTAAGCAGGGACTGGGTGTGATGACAGAAGCAAGCGACAAGCCTTAGTAAATATTCTTGAGGTGGTGAAGAAATATGATAGCCTGGGGTCTAAACCAGAGCCCAAGCCCTCAGAGGCCCTGGAGGGTGGTCATTCAAAACATTCATCCCCAAATTAAGCATGCTGGGCTCTGGAGTCACAGCAGTCACAGGGTGAACAAGGCCTTCCCTCTTGATAGTCCAGTTTCGCAGCGGTTCAAATTGCGGGGGTGCGGCGTGCCGGAAGAATCTATCTGACCCTGGTGCCCTTTTCCTGCCTGGGGTGGGCGGGGCCGGGCGGAAGCACGCATGCGCATAGGAAAATCCAACTTCGTCCCGGAACTTTGGTTCCTGGTGCTGCGGGGCACCCGGCCCCGGGAGTGTGCTCGGCCGGAAGTGGCCGCTGAGGACCTGGGGTGGGTATGGTGTGCGGAGCCTGCCACAGCACGTAACAAGTCGTAGAGAATCGGGATGGAGGACGTAGCGACTGCGACTGCGACGGCGGCGACGGAACCCGGTGAAGGTGAGGTCCTGGCCACGCGGAGGCGGCGGGAGGGTGGAGTTGCGGTGTCACTGGGAAATGATTCCCCGTGAAGGCGAAGGAGGACTCTTCAAAAGGGGACACCTGGGCTTCCCTGGTGGCGCAGTGGTTGAGAGTCCGCCTTCCGATGCAGAGGACACGGGCTCGTGCCCCGGTCCGGGAAGATCCCACATGCCGTGGAGTGGCTGGGCCCGTGAGCCATGGCCGCTGAGCCTGCGCGTCCGGAGCCTGTGCTCCGCAACGGGAGAGGCCACAACAGTGAGAGGCCCGCGTACCGCAAAAAAAAACAAAAAAACAACCAAAAAAAGGGGGACACCTGCCCTCGGCCCTAACTGTTCCCTTCACCACTTTGTCAGATTAACCCCTTTCGTTGCAGGCTGACCTCCTTTACCCCATCCCCTCCCCCGAAATTAACCTCTTCCAAGTTCCAGCCGGCTCTTTCCGTGTCCTAGGCTAATCTAGTTCCTTACCAAGCTCTCAGGCTAGCATAAACGTCTCTGTCCTGGGCTCTCCCATTGTCCCAGCCAACCGTGCTTCTTAAGTTACCTCCTTCCCTTGCTTCCTCCTGTCTCATGCAAACTCTACTTAGACCATACTAACGGCTCCCCCCATTTCATTCTAATTCCCGTTCTCCGAAAGTCCACAGTCCCATCTGCTTCCTCAGGGTCGTTAATCCGTTTCCGTGCTCCCCCATCTCTCTCTTTTGCCAGTTTCTTTATCTCTTCTGGTGCCTCCCCATCAGTACCTAAAATGCTTTTGTTTTGCTCATCTTAAAATTCTATCCTGGGGGCTTCCCTGGTGGCGCAGTGGTTGAGAGTCCGCCTGCCGATGCAGGGGACACGGGTTCGTGCCCCGATCCGGGAAGATCCCACATGCGGCGGAGCGGCTGGGCCCGTGAGCCATGGCCGCTGAGCCTGCGCGTCCGGAGCCTGTGCTCCGCAACGGGAGAGGCCACAACAGAGAGAGGCCCGCGTACCTACCACAGAAAAAAAAAAAAAATTCTATCCTGGTGCTTCAGAGTAATCCCGTGTGGGGTGAGGTGCGGTTGAGAGGTTGGTTGAAACATCACTGGACAAGAATTGGTCATTTTTGAAGCTGGATGATGGATATATGGTGTGTGGGGGGGGGGTCATTGTACTTTCTACTTATGTGCATGTTTGAAAGTTTCCATAATAAGAAAAAAGCTTTAACCTAAAAAGGAAATCTATCCCTTGATTCCATGCTGCCTTCCAGATACCATTTATCTTCTCCAAAGAGTCATGCACACTTGCCTCCATTTCCTCACTACCCACCCACTGCAGTCTGGCTTTTACCTTCAGAAACTGCACCCATCGGGGTCCGCAGTGACCTCCCTGTGTAGTTAAACTGAGTCACCCTGTTCAGTTTTTTCCTTATTAGACTACTTGGAGAATTCAATGCCATTGACCCCTCCATCCTTCTTGAAAATATTCCCTTGGTTTCTGTGACGCCACTCCTTCTGATATCCTTCCTATCTCTCGGGCTCCTGCTCAGCCAGTGTTAGTTTCCTGGGGCTGTTGTAACAAACGACCACAAACTGGGTGGCTTAAAACAACAGAAATTTATTCTCGCACAGTTCTGGAAGCCAGAAGTCTGAGGTCAGTATCACTGGGTTGAAATCAAGGTGTCAGCAGGGCCATGGAGAGCTCCCTCAGAGGCTCTAAGGGAGAACCCATTCCTCACCTTTTCCAGCTTCTGGTGGCTCCTGGCATTCCTCGGTTTGTGGCCACATCACTCCAATCTCTGCTTCTGTCTGTCTTCACCTTGTGTTCTCCTCTGTGTGTGTCAAATCTCCCTCTTATAGGACACTTGTAATGGCGTTTAGGGCCCAACTGGATAATCCAAGATAATCCCCCTATCTCAAGATCCATAATTTAATCATATATGCCAAGACCCCCCCCCCTTTTTTTTTTTTTTGGCCATGTAAGGTAACATTCACGGGTTCCAGGAATTAAGGCGTGACTATCTTTTGGGGGCCATTTTTTAGCCTCTCACAGTCTCCTTCACAGACATGTCTTCTCCCCATCCAGTTAGGACTGTTTCTTGGCCCCTCTTCTCTTTCCATACTTTACACACTCCCCCCACCCTCCCCACGACTTCTTATTTCCTTCAGCTTTACTTCTGTTCTTTGCTCTGACGACTCCCATAACTCAGTCCCCAGCGCACTTCTCCCCTGAGAAGTCTCCCATGTACCAGCAGTCTTGTAAATGCCTCCCCTTGGATGTCTCCTGGGCCTGTCATACCGTCCATGTCCCAAACCGGCCTCAGCATCTTCCCCCAGCCTTGCTCCTCATCCATGTCTCTGTGTCAGGGACAGTTTGACCAGTCCACTGGCAAGAGCCCTGTACCTTAACTGGATACCTCCCTCACCTCCCAGCCCTTCATTCCAATGACTTGTCCTACTCGGCCTCCCAAGCGTCTTTTTAACCACGACCCCCTCCTGTCCCCTCCTCCACAGCCCCTTTACCTGGTCCAGCCCAGTCTTCTCTTGCCTCAGTCATTAAAACCCTCCCTGAGGGGCTTCCCTGGTGGCGCAGTGGTTGGGAGTCCGCCTGCCGATGCAGGGCACGCGGGTTCGTGCCCTGGTCCAGGAGGATCCCACATGCCGCGGAGCGGCTGGGCCCGTGAGCCATGGCCGCTGAGCCTGCGCGTCCGGAGCCTGTTCTCCGCAACGGGAGAGGCCACAACAGTGAGAGGCCCGCGTACCGAAAAAAAAAAAACCCTCCCTGAAACCCGTTGTGCCTATAATCACCACCCTCTTTCTCTTCCCCACCCTAGCCAAGCTGAAGGAGTTGTCTGTACCTCCTGTCCTCACTTATTTCCTGCTTGCTGTAGCCTTGCTCCAGTTGCCACCACTTTTGAGAAGCAGCTTGCACCAGGGTTTGCCCAGCGCTCAGCTTTTCTGTTCCCAGTGCCTGTGCTGTCTTTGACCTTGCCTGTCTTTCCCCATCAGACAGGGTGCTCCCTGGGGGCTGAACTGGATCCCTCCGGGGATCCTCAGCATTGCCCAGCTCAGGGCCCGGCATAGATGTAGAGTTGCTGAAGAGTGGTTGGATGGATATGCAAATGAGTAGGAGAGAATGAATGAGTGAGTGAGTGAACGCGTTAGTGAATGTATTGATGATTTCGTGAGCAAGGGAAAAGGCAAAATTGAGTGAATCAATGAATGAAGTGGTCAAGGACCAAGTAAATACACCAAGCACACTGTCTCAGGGCCTTTGCACTAGCTGTTCCCTCTGCCAGTTCCCACAGAAATCTCATGGCTCAGTCCCTCACCACCTCAGGTCTCTACTGAAATGTCGCCTTTTGGGCAAGGCCTTCTCTGACTGTCCATTCAAAATTGCAGCCTCACCCCCATTCCCTCCTCCTTCCCTTTTTATTTTCCTACACAGCTCTTGGAACCACCTAACACACTATATGTTTTCACTAACTATGTTTTCACATGCCTGCGTTCCCCACTAAACTGTCAATCGCTTGCTTACTGTGGTATCTCTAGGGCCTAGAAGGGTGCCCAGAATATAGGAGGTGCTCAATAAATGTGAAATGAGTGAGTGAGTGAGCACCCACTCCCTTTCACCCACTGCCCCATCCGCTTTCCCATCCCCGGACTGGCTGATCTTCCCTCTCCCCACAGGCTGCACGGAGCCCAGTCCTGGGCACTGGGGGGAGCTGAGCTGGACGCCGGTCCCATCCAGACCCCAGGACAAGGCAGAAGCAGCAGAAGGAGCGCCAAGGGCCCTAGACACTGACCTCTCAGAGGTCGAGGACGCGGCAGTGAGTGCTATGCTGCACGCCGTGGCGGCCAGCCGCCTGCCCGTGTGCAGCCAGCAGCAGGGCGAGCCCGACCTGACCGAGCAGGAGAAGGTGGCCATCTTGGGCCAGCTGTACCATGAGAAGCCACTGGTGTTCCTGGAGCGCTTCCGCACGGGCCTCCGGGAGGAGCACCTGGCCTGCTTTGGCCACTTGCGCGGTGACCACCGTGCGGACTTCTACTGTGCCGAAGTGGCCCGGCAAGGCAGCACCCGACCCCGCACCTTGCGCACCCGCCTGCGTAACCGCCGCTACGCTGCCCTGCGTGAGCTCATCCAAGGTGTGGGGGCGGACAGGTTGGGTGGGAGGGGAGACTGAAGCAGAGGAAGTAAGAAACAAGGATGCAGGAACAGAAACGCAGACAGAGATCCTGGGAGATAAGTTTTAAGACAGGGACCCGGGGAGAGACGGAGACAGAAATGTGAGGTGACAGGGTGAGACAGGGAGAGACAAACAGGGCCCCAAGGGAAGAGAATGGGACAGGCAGTGAGAAGGGTCAGAATTTAGTAGATAACAGAAGTGCCGTTTCAGACCAGCAGGCCGAGGACACACAGTATCCAGCACCGTGAGAACTGGTTACCCCTCAGGGAAACCAGATCCCTACCTCACACTGTACACAGAGGCATTGACAGAAACCTAGGGGAATATGTTCCTGACCCAGGAGAGGCAAAGGCCTCTTGAAAAAAAAACACATGTGAAAAGCATGAAGGAAAACATTGGTACATTTCTCTTTTTTATTTATTTACTTATTTATTATTTTTGTAAGATTGGTACCTTTTTGAGCATGATGTAGTTACAAGCAGCTTTGTGACCAAAGACACCAGAACTAAAGTTAAAAGATGAGAGCAGGGGCTTCCCTGGTGGCGCAGTGGTTGAGAGTCCGCCTGCCGATGCAGGGGACACGGGTTCGTGCCCCGGTCCGGGAAGATCCCACATGCCGCGGAGCAGCTGGGCCCGTGAGCCATGGCCGCTGAGCCTGCGCGTCCGGAGCCTGTGCTCCGCAACGGGAGAGGCCACAACAGTGAGAGGCCCGCGTACCGCAAAAAAAAAAAAAAAAAAAAAGATGAGAGCAAATGAAGGAGAGAGTGAGTTAAGATTCTAGTTAGGGAGAAGGCACAGGCTGTAGAGAAAGGGATCCGGAGAGAGTGGAGCACAGTGACCGATGAGGAGCAGGGATGAAGAGAGGAGGGAGGATGAGTGAATGAAAGAAGTGGGGTTAGGTGACAGGAACTGAGAAAGCCAGAGAGACAGAGATGGGTGGAGACAGAGGGGCAGAGGAGGGGAGGGAGAAACTGAGACCCAGAGAGAGAGAGTGACAGTGAAAGATAGGGAGAAGGAGGGAGAGAAACAGAATGTGGTGGGAAACATGGGGAACAGAGAGGCGGGTAAGAGAGAGAAGGCAAGATGGAGGGCAGGACAGGGATGGTCCCAGGATTCCTGGGCTCTGAGGGCGGGGCTAGGACCAGCGGCGGGAGGGACTGGGCAGGCTTAGCTGTTATCTGAGGGACAGAGCTGCCTATGCTGAGAGACATCAGGAGACGTATGAAGCCCCTGGGTTTGGGGAGTGGGGAAGCCAGGCCCTCAGAAGGGGTGGTTGCAGAGAGGAACGCTCTGGGGAGAGGTGAGATCGGGGGTCTGGAAGACCAACAGGGACACCCACACCTGGGCAGATGCCCTGCTAGACCTGACGCTGTGCACACACACGTCTGCTCCATGAAGGTGTACACTTATGTGCCCAGCAGTGCAGGCGTGTCCAGGTGTGTGCACCAACAGCCAGAACGGGGCTCAGCAGACAGGCACACACAGTCTACATACTGGCTTCCATGCACAGTATACCTGCCCGCAATGTCCTGCACACCAGCTCCCAGATGCAGGGGCCCACAGCAGTGTACACACACACACACACACACACACACACACACACACACACACACACA